GGAGACTAGGTATGGCTAGGTTGGGTGTCGAGGTGGGAGATGTAGTGAAATAATATCATGAGGGACAGGGTCTGACAGGTCAACCCTCCCTTGAGAAAAGGGTTTATTTACATGACTGTGTACAGCAATAGCCCAAAAATAAACAAACAAATATCTCGCTGTGATCTGACAGGTCAACCCCCCATTGGAATAATTGTTGTGTGTGGGGGGGGAGGGGAGGAAAGACCAGGTATATCTAGGATTATTTAAGAGTGGCTAGGTTGGGTGTGGAGGTGGGAGGGGATGGATTTTCTTGGTGGATGATCGGACAGGTCAACCCCCTCTTGGAATATTTTATAAGAACCCTTTTTTGCATCAAACCAGGCTTCCTGGTGCCTTGCTATTTGCAGGGCCGCCTTGCAGCTACTTTGTATTCATGTCCAGCTCCATCCACAAGCGCTCTCGTCTTGGACCACGAGGGGATGAATCCCATTGTGGAGTACGATTGGGTAATTTGCTGACAGAAAACTTAGCTGTTGCTGTGCGAGCTCTCTTACAAATCAGAGACGTGAAGGTCGTCATAGAGCAGCCCGTGTCAAGCGCTATGTTCAGCCTCCAATTGTGGGTGGACCTCATTCATGAGCAGCAACTCCGTTTGATCCTGACATATATGGGAGCGTTTGGACATTTCATGATCAAAGGCACCCGTCTTCTGGGCAACCTTTCTCACATTCAATGGTCCCCTGACACGTGCTTTTCATTTTTGAATGTTTGACATTTCCGGGTCGTGTGATGTCGCGTGTGCTTTTCGCCACCTTTTGATTCTTTTGCTACCGTATGGCTAGGGCAGCTGAGGTTGCAGAAGGCATTGACCCCGAAGGTTCGTGAGAATGTGCAAAAAGCAAAGATTGCCCTGGAGAAAAAACTAGGCAGAAAGCTTTGTATTTATAAGATTCTTGGTGTGCGTTTGGTTCTGTTGACGTTTGATGATGTTTGTATTGTTATTGTGTATGTTTTTCTTAAAGGCTGATTTGATTTGATTTGTATCGATTTGTGCTTGTCGCTGCTCATGAATGCCAGGAAAGACGCACGTGGAGGTGTCTCCGGCGGCAAAGACCTACCGCGATCAGCAGAATATACGGCCAAATTCAGTTCAAAAGTCTTTGATGCCTGGATCCGGCAGTGGGTCCAGGGAGGATATCACCTTCAGACAAGTTGATGTGTGATCTTTCGTGAATTGTGTAGATGGTGGACAATTCCACATCTTTTCCTTCACAACTACGTGAAAGTTGTACAAGCGCTGAAATGGGTTGAATCATTTCAATCGCAGTGATGTACAGTAAAAGTTCATTGGAAATCAATGAAATTCTAAAGCATGCTAAGCAAATCTGGGCAAACGCTTGGCAAAAGTATTTACTGAGACAACAGTTCAAGATGCTTCAAGACTTACACATATATAAGTTTCTCATGTCTCGTAAATAATATATATATATATCTATACTATGATGATGATGATGGTGACGATGTTGACGACGGTTTTGGATGGTTTCGGCCTTTTTGAGGATCCGTTTGTTTGCCACCCTTTCGGCAGGCATCTTCCACCAGGAGGTTTGAAGTGTCCAACGTGGTTGAAATTGCAAACGCAGCCTTGGACGATGCTTGCACTTTGGCCAGCATTTGCTCTTGCGGGATTTCTCCGAATCAGATGAAAGAGGACTTGCGCCAGTGGTGGGAAGCAGATGGGGCGAGCATTTTCCTTGGGGAAGAACCGGAGCTGCCTCAAGAAGACCAGTCTTTGCAAGACGAGGACATTCATTTGTTGGAGTTCACGAGCACGTTTGCACCGGTGTTTTTTGGTTTAAATGTGTTTTTCATTGTTTCCTTTGTTGTATACACATGGGATCTTTACTGCTTCCTTGGAGGAGGAGCTTGAAGACGATGAGGAGGATGAGGACCAGACAAAAGACGACGGGGAAGGCAAGGAGATCAAAAAGGTCATTGGTGACACTGAGACAGATGCTTTTCTGCAGGAGAAGATCGCAAAGGCCATGGAGCAGATCAATGCCGGAGATGCAGTTAAGGACTCAGTGAAAGCCACTACCCTGGAAGAGATTCCGGACGAAGATCTCGATGAGCCAGCCGACAAGAAGACAAAGATTGATGTGGATAATCTTCCATCCACACTCCATGCTATCTTGAAAGAGGCAGGAATGCACAATTTCGTCGCACCAGAGAACGATGCAGAGCATCTTTGCCTGAGACGTGTCCGGGCATTGCTGCCGTTGCTCCAGGGGTTCAACTCAAAAGTCCGCATGTTTGAGAAGGTGCTTTCGAAGGGCATGATCTTTGGTTCCAACCGCCCAGGCCCGCCACTAAATACACAGAACCTCCTTGAACATCAGCTCGCCCGGGCACGAGCGACTTTTCACTGCTCCGCGGCAAAACAGAATCGCTTCAACATGTGGGCAAGCTACACCAGAAAGTTCGAAGAGCTGCAGGAGAAAGTGGAGGAGACAACGGTTGCTTCTAGTACTCCTGATGCTCCTGGCGTGAACCCGATCAAATCTTTCAGGCTTGGTGTTTACCAGCAAAAATATTCGAGGCCACCGTAGCTAGTGCAATGCCATTGGAATATTTTTTTTATGAAGGCTTCAAGAATCCAGAAAATCCTTGATGCTTCCTATGGTTTCAACCGCATTACTAGTCTGGAGGGCATTCACGTGTCAAAGACCATCGGAATAATTTGTGTATGTGGTGGGTTCTCAATGGTTCTCATTGTTTCTCTTTGGTTTAGGTCAAGGTGTTTGGTGAGTTGAATTTAGTATAGTTTTGATGTTCTGTGGGATTTGGCAACTTTGTGTTCAGGCCCAGTACTGGAGAGGATGGAGCATTGCAAATCCTGGTCGTTCGACCCTTCCATGCTGGGGGAGCTGCAGGCGCCTTGAGATTTGCGCTTCTGGATTCAGTGTGGCGCTCAGGGAAGAATAAAGAATATCTATGGCCACGTGCACAACTTCCAGCCCATTGCGCCAGCCGGATTCGAGTGAGGCTACTGATGCCCACAAAGCAGTTGGAGAACGATGCTGAAGGATTTGCCGCATCCAGTCTTTCACCAACATTTACGCTTTCAGCTCACGATCCGTCTGTGCTGTACGAAGTACCGGCAAAGTGCATTTGCGATGTCAAGTTTGGCCGGTCCTACCTCAGCCTGACTTTGACCAGGGAAGCCATCAAGGGTTGGAAGTCAGCGGCCAAAGCGGCTGTTCCGTTTGAGCCCTCGAAGAAAGCAAATCCGTTGGACAAAGTGTTCTTTACGGAAGATGACTTCCAGCGGAATGCCACAGGAAGGAGCAACATGCAACGCTATGTGGCCCACATGATTCATGATTATGAATCAATGTTCTCCAAGATCGTCAACTCCAAGGGGGAAATCCAGCTCACTCCAGAGAAGAAGATCTCCTAGTCAGAGCTTTTGGCTCGGGTGCCCGCTTATTTCAACAGATATCAGAAATCTGCGACTCACTATCAGAGCCTCTCAAAGCACGAAAAGTCGCAGTCGCACCTCAGCAATTGTGCTCATGATATGTTTTATGATTTTTATGTTTGTATATGTGTTGTAAGTTTTTTGTTTTTTTGTTGTGGCGGGCGTTAATTATTGTTTCTTAGTTTTTCTTTACAACTTTTCTGTGTAGGTTTGGGCTACTGGTCATGCGGGAATTGATGGCCATGAGCCCCAGCCCAATTGATCACAAGAGCAAGCTGCGCCAGTGGCTAGCCAAAGTCTTTTTCGAATCTCCTGAGCCGCTTGTCATGGTGAAGCACGAAGCATCGTGAGTGGAACGGCCAGTTGTAGCATCACGTTGAGATTTGCCAGGATTGGCCTAATTCAAGTACAGATTCAATTTCAGAGAGGTCTGTTACAGTTGGTTGCCCACACTTTTTGGAGCTTTTGTGTTTATCTGATGTTGGCCACTGTTGGTCATTGGCAGGATTGATAAGATATATATGCGTATGATTGAATAGGACCAGTGGTTTTTGTTGGGCAGGCAGATCTGTCTTGCACTGGGTGATTTGGAGGGGACTTCCAAATCAATCCATGGTTGGTAAGCTAGAAACAAAGACCCTGCTGCTGCCTGCATTGGGTAGTGGGCGGCCTGAACGTTGAAAAAGGAGCGTCGCAGCAATGATTTTTATTGAACATGTTGAAAGACCTCTGGCAGAACAATTTCCAATGATTTTATTATTCCAACCCCGTGCAACCTACATGGAGGATATTCACAACACCTATGTAAAAGGGGATTGGAATAATAAATAAATTATTCTTTAGGGGGGGTACCTACCCCCCCGCCAAGGCACCCCCCATCTTTTAGGTCCCAGTCGCTCGCTCCCTCACTCACTCACTCACTCACTCATTGGCACTTATTACTTGGGTCTATAAGAACCGCATCGACCCAAGTAGAGATGGTTGCAAGTTACACATTTGTGTTGAATCCCTTCCACATTCACACTGAGTCACTGGATGCTTGTTGTGGATTCAGACCGAGTTGAATCTCCAGGTGCAACACCCACCTTGGTGGGCATGGCCAAGCGATTCCTCACCAGGCGCGTGGGGGGGGGGGCAAATCCCCGGGTCTTGTAAAGTTTGCGGAGGCGGGGTTCCGAACACGCGGAGGGTATGTGCTGATCTCGGGCATGAGGGTGAGTGAAAACTTCTTGATGATCTGAATTCTGGATCCGTAGCTGGGGTTTGACTCTCGTAATTGTTTTGGACTCTTTTGTTGCTAATTGCCGTAGAGTGTACCACTGTAGAGATGAGGCGAGATGGTCTATCCCAACTTCAGGCATTTTAGGGCGATGTGAGCTTGTGGGGATGGAATTGGGCTGTGAGTGACCAATAGAGAGTACAGCGTATTTGTTATGAAAATCCTCGCCCCAAAATAATCGAAAAGATGCCCGGCTTCCTCAAAGTGTGTTTTTGTGTCTTTGGGTCAGCCCAGCCTGTCGTCGATTTGGTGCTCAGGAAAGAGGCGAAATGGGTGGCAAGTTTGGATCCCAAGGCAACGCCAAAGGAACAGGAGGCAATCCATAAGGCAGGAGCATTTCAGAGCTTGGGACGGTGTAGATTTGCCGTGAGGGGTACTGCAAGTAGCAGATATCTTCAGTCATTTCGGTGTGATTTTGCAACTCCCTGTGCCTGTTTCACACCTTATCACGTACCAAAAACATGCTGTGAAGATTGAGACGAGTTCGTTAAGTGGAGCACCTCATCGGGACCATTTGGGAGGACTGTTTGGTACGGGTGAATGGGTTCCTTCTTTTAGTTCACCTGTGTGTGTGTGTCTGCCCCTTGTAGTCACAGGGATCCATTTGGATTGTTTGACTCCGTCTTCTTTCTTCTTTTTTAAGCAGGGGGACTGTCTACCCCACAGAAGTGGCAGTCCAACGAAGAGGCTTCTGTGGCGGTACTGATATCACTGGAGACGTCCAGTGACGTACCTGCAGTTTTACT